AGATTGTGAAGTGAATTTAGGAAAGCTTTTCACTCCCCAGTCAGTTACAGTATTGGGTACAAATTGAATGAGGGGAAATTTAGGTTAGATATTAGGAAAAAGCTTTTTCCTGTGAGGGTGGTGAGACACTGGCACAGGTTGCTCAGGGAGGCTGTGGCTGCCCCAACCCTGGCAGTGTTCAAGGCCAGGCTGGATGAAGCCTTGAGCAACCTGCTCTGGTGGGAGGTGTCCCACCAGGGCAGGAGTTTGGGACTAGGTCGTCTCTAAGGTCCATTCCAACCCCTAAAATTCTGTGAGTCTATGATTCTGTATTTTATATGAGTGCACCTAATGACACTTCAGCCTCTACATGCTGTCTTCCAGAAGATCTTTTGCACTGTGGCTGTTAACCCGAGGCCTTGTTGTCACAAATTAGGTACTAAACCTTGTCTTAATGTTTAGAATTAAACTTGGCTTTGTACAGCAGCTGTACATCCTGGATGATAACTGTATAGGAAACAGCTGGCTTTCAGGATTATTGTGCAAATTCATGACCTTGTGCTACCTTCGGATTACTAAGGCTCTGCAATGTTTGTTTAGTCTTGAGCTTGTTCTTTGGTCCCTTCCTAAACATGCCAAGGGGAGTTTAGATTCTCTGCCAGGTGAGTGTAATTAGCAGGCTGTGAAGACTGATAGAAAATGCTTATGTCTCCTAGCATCTTCACCAAATTTTGTTACTGCTGCTAAAATTGTTTCTGGATGCTGCCTTGTGGCATTGTGCACTAGATCTGTTCTGTTTTAAACCTTCCTCTGGAGTGGGCCCACCTAAAGGCCAGGAGGAGGGGTCTCTCCACTTTGCACCAGCACAGCTGTACCGAGACAACATTTAGGCACACTGGAATTGCTGTCAGAAGTTTAATCAGATCCATGCTGGGAATTTTTTTTCCTCTTGGCTTAATAGCTGGATAGTTCAGGATTCCTGAGTATTGCCTAATACTTTGAATTAATAACTGTAATCCAGGTCACTGCCTGCTGGTCTGTTTCTCACTTGCAAGTGGTTTGAACTGAGTATTAAATCACAACTGAAATTGCAGTTATTATGAAACACTCGGGATGGATACACTATCATTGATTAATACTCTCTAGGCATTGCTATATATTCTTTCTGGAAACTTACAGCAGCAACTATATTTCACAGGGAAATAGCAGGGTGAATAACCTGAAGTGCCTGGTGATGTAAGAAGCATATGGTCAAGTTACAGCCACATTTATTTTATCCCAGATTGCTGTCTCATTAAAATACCAACCCACCCCCATTGCTTAACATCAGACTCCGTGTGGGCATTTGGATCACGGATGGGTGCACACTTACTGGGACTTTTCCAGTGCTTCTAAATAGATTTTCTGGCTCTCTTTTGAGTGCTGGCAAACTGCAGCAGTGACAACGAACATGTTGCTTCCCACGTGTTTTAGAATAAGAGTTCTTGGTTAGGGCATTTGGGGTGGCTTAGGAGTTGTTTTTTTGTAGCTCCAGCCAGTTGTAGGACTGGAAATTTTCTATGTCTGGCGTGGAGGGACAGCAAAAGGTGTTGATGGTTGAGGATGTGTCATATTTGGAAGGAATGTGCTGGTTTTGTTCTTGCCATTTTTCTGTGACCTGTTTGAGGTGATTTGAACAAACTAAATTCTTTTTGCACTGATATGCTAGATGAACTCTGACTCTATAAATGCTTTCTCTTAATGTTATTATATATAGTTAAATGAGGTAGTAGAAAAACTTGTACAAATCCTCCTGATTTGCTTTCTAGGTGTGTATGTGGTGAACATTCCTGATTGCCTATTTGGAACATGTTAAAGCAGATCTTATCCTACTGACAGAAATAGGTGGTAAAGGGTTTTTTTTTTTGTTTTTCTACCGTTGTCTGGAAACATTTAAAACTGTATTCAACAACAGTACTTTTGTTTTGAAACCTTATCTTCACTTTCTAAAGTGTACCTTTGCAGGACTTGTGGGATTTTGGCAGATCAACCACTGCATGATTGTGTGATGCCTCATTAATTTTACAGGATGCATCAGAGGACAAATATAAATGACCACTTGTTCAGAGCCATGTGACCTACTTAAAACTGAGTTTGTTCTCTGAGAGGTTACACCCCAGTCATAATTTAGGTGGCAGTGCTAAGATGAGCTTTAAATTAGTGTCAACATTTCTTTACCTCATTGCCCTCTTTATTGGGTATATCCCTTGTTAGAAGGTAGGTGTGAGTTGTTAAATAATGGCATTTGAGCCAAGAAAATTTGAATGTTGTTGTGAAAAATTTAATGAAAAATCAAGTCCAGTAGAGTTTCCAGTCTCTTGTCTTTTTACTCGAAAAATGAAGCAACTGAAGAATGTGGAGCTTGCTCAGAGAGGGCAAACTGCTTATAGTAGTAACAATTCCTATATGTGTCCTCAAAAGTGAAAACCACTTTCCACTAGTTGTGTGGAAAAGGAAGAGTGGAGAAGTGATGATTGCTGAAAGGCAGGGGAATGGATTTGAAAAGAGAACAGATGGATAACTAATTTTTAATTCACTCCAACATATCACTCATTCTATTTATTTATTTATTTTTAAACTGAGGAAACATCAATGTACTAAGTACAAACCATTCATGTTCTGCAAGTGTCTTACTTGGATAGGGAAGGAATTGAAATCAGCAGTGAGGAGAAAGACTTGGGAGTGAGAGTGGATGAGAAGCTCAGCATGAGCTGCAGCATGAGCTCAGCCCAGAAAGCCAGTGGAATCCTGGGCTGCATCCACAGGGGTGTGGGCAGTAGATCAAAAGAAGTGATTCTTCCCCTCTACTCTCTTGAGACCCACCTGGAATACTGCACACAGTTCTGGTGTTCTCAGCATAAGAAGGACATGGAACTGTTGGAGCAAGTCCAGTGGAGGCACGAAGTTGCTAAGAGGACTGGAGCATCTCCCTATGAAGACAGGCTGAGGGAGTTGGGGCTGTTCAACCTGGAGAAGACTGCGTGGAGACCTCAGAGCAACTTTTCCATATCTGAAGGGCCTACAAGGAGCTGGAGAGGGACTCTGTTAGGAAATGTAGTGATAGAACGAGGGGTAATGGGTTCAAACTGAAGGAGGGGAAGTCTAGGTTGGATATTAGGAAAAAGGTTTTTCCTGTGAGGGTGATGAGACAGTGGCACAGGTTGCCCAGGGAGGCTGTGGCTGCCCCAACCCTGGCAGTGTTCAATGCCAGGCTGGATAAGGCCTTGAGCAACCTGATCTATTGAGGAGATGTCCCTGCCCAGAGCAGGGAGGGTTGGGACTAGATTGAAGTGAAGGTCCATTCTAACCCCTAAATTCTATGATTCTATGATTCTGCCCTTTCCAATAAGTTGGTGCAAGTAGGTTTCCATTCAGTTCTGTGGGATCTGAATGTCATGGCTCACTTAATGTTTCCACTTCTGATCTTAAGTGACATTAGCAGACTTTAGAACGTTCTCCTGTGTTCCTTTTATGCACATGAACATAATGGATAGCTACTTTGGAGAAGTCCTAAATTCTATGATTCTATGATTCTGCCCTTTCCAATAAGTTGGTGCAAGTAGGTTTCCATTCAGTTCTGTGGGATCTGAATGTCATGGCTCACTTAATGTTTCCACTTCTGATCTTAAGTGACATTAGCAGACTTTAGAACGTTCTCCTGTGTTCCTTTTATGCACATGAACATAATGGATAGCTACTTTGGAGAAGTGGTCATGTGCAAGAACGAGTCTGAGTGCAACTGACTTGGACACCAGGTACTGAAGTGTGAAAAATAAATGACACAATAGTTACAAACATGAGAGATGTTATCTTATATTCCGATATTCTAAGTGCTCATTTTTATAAATTGGCCATCACATAGGAATTTGGATAGTGCTGCAATACAGAATGACTAAAACTGGAACAGTCTTGTTAATACATGAAGTGAATTGTATTGAGAATGCTGTGCATGTTCTTTTATATGTCTGAGCTTCTCATCTTAGGTAAGAAGCTTCTTTTCCCACAGAAATGTCTGAAAAAACCCAAAGCTTCTTCTCTGAACTGGGAACAGATGTCAGATTTCATTTTGGGGCAGACACTAGTGCTTTTGTGAACTTCAGACTTTGGACTACAGAAAATCAAACTCGTTCAAGGCAAACAGAGCTCAGCACCAGTGTACAGGGGAAGCTTTGGCAACATTGGACGTTTGAAGTGGAAGAAAATAGTCAGAAAAACTACTTGAGGGTATTTCTCTCTTTGATAAAGTGTCATTTCCCCCTGAAACTAGTTAATGCTTCCCATTACCTCCAGCATAGTATTTTAATATTACTCTTTCAGCATAGTTCAATTGTAGTTTAAAAGAGAGAATTCATTTTAAAGATAACAAAATAAACCAAACTGTCAATCTTTTCTAACAAGGGAAACTTGCATTTATTATTACAGCTTCAGGTAAGTTTTCTCTCTCCAACACTGCGGGTGAAACTATTTAATAATTGTTTTGGATACTGTTTTCCTTTTGGAAACACTGCAGAGCATTATCAGGGAAAAGGAAGACAGTGACTCTGCATTCTTAGAACATCCAAAAGCAGAAATGGAATTTTTAGAACAGCCCTCCAAAAGTTAGCAATACCAATCTTGTCTAGGTCAGCAAAGCCGCCTCTCTGTTTTTAATACAAATCTGAAAGCATCTGTATATGTATGCCAGGCTGTTAACAATGAGACCTCTCAGCCATGCTCTGAAAACTTTTTCCTCTTGGTAGCCAAACAGAACAAACCAACACACAAAGGATGTTCAGAGAACACATTGTCCCGTCAGTTTAGACAACACAGGTTACGGTCAGTGTACTCTGAAACTGGTATTTCTAAAGACTTTTCCTGTGAAAGCCTTATGATTGCTGGAGCATTTTTTCATCCCCTGAATTGAGTGATTTGAAAAATACTGACTTCTAAAATGTGATGTGATTCTCCAATGTTCATTTCTATTTATGCATCTCTTCCCAGGAGCTGTGGAAGTGTCAGTCCGAAGCCCATTCGCCTGCTGGTTTAGTGCTATGCTTTATTGCTTTGGTGGTTCAGTTTTGTCTGCCTTGATGCTTGCAGAACCTCCAGTGGCCTTTCTGGCAAAGAACACAAATATTCTACTGGCATCTTCAGTCTGGTGAGCAGCCACAATTGAGTTACATAAGTGGTACTGGTCCTGAGGAAGCTGTAAACTGATCTAATCACCACCAAGGTTCCATGTACATCAGAACTTTAACTCAAAAGTGTTATGGATTTGGGTGCTGTCTCTTCATCCAGAGAGTCAGTGCTGCAGAATAGCTGTTATGGTCCTTTTCTGTGGGAACAGAATGTTCATAAAACAACAACTCTTATGGGCTGTTGTATAGCAAAATGCTCCATTTCCTAGACTAGAGTTGCCTTAGATTTTTATGGTATTACTGGTCAGGCAGCTGAAGACATTATTTTGTAATAAAGTGAACTTCAGTTGCTGATTTTCTGGACATAAGTCATAAATGCAGTCTAGTTTTTCAGGAGTAGATCTTGAAGATCAGAACTCAGCTGATGTAAAAATTTTGGACTTTCCTGTAACTGAGAATCCAAGACAGAACTTCTTCCTTCTTCTCCAGCTTCTGCTACCTGACATAATTTCTTTTTTTTCTATATTTTGTCCCTTCCCAAATACATGGGTGTTACAGTGGGAGGCAGTGGTGAGCTGAGTGGGAAGTCAGGTATGTGGCAATTTGGCCTGTTTTGGAATTCCAGAAAACCCACTGGAGTTATTTTCATATCAATGTGGCCTTCCAGTAGAGTTCATTTTTTTCAGAAGGTGATGTTTGAAGAAGAAAACCTCAAACCTAACAAAAATGATGACCCATAGAGGGATTTTGAATTTAGAAAGTTCAGTTACTCAACTTAGAGGGGTCTGATCTGTTTGAAATCCTTTAGTCCCTGTTTCTAGTAGCCCCTACTTGCAGTTCTACAGCTGCAAATTATTACAGTGAAACTAAGTGTTTCTATCTGCCTGTGTGTATGTACTAGTTTTCTGGTCTTCATGTCTCAATTAAAGATTTAATTTAGACAATTGTGCAATAAATAGTGCATTATTAACAAAGCTCATAGAATCTGCCTGTGGTTCATGTCAGTCTGACGTGGGCAGCATGAGCACCTGTTTGAACAAGTGACATGAGTTAGGAGGACACTTGAACAGAATATGATTTCTGTTGAGCTGAACACTCTCAAATGTAATTTGCTGTGCTCAGACAAGAAGGGGTTCTAATGAGCTGCAAATGTTATGAAACCTTTTAAGCTTCTAGTTTTACAAAGCTCTCTCTTCATGAGGATAATGAGTTTAGTTCTTGGTTCCAGATCACGTGAAGTGAAATCCCCAAAGCCGTAAGTACAACTGGAGAACAAGGAGGGTTGTGCTACACTGGAGAAATGCTCCTGAATAGTCTGTAGGACAGCGGCATCTGCTGTCAGCGAGTGTTGCTGACTGAGATCACAGGCTGCAGTGCCTGGTTCGATCCTGTGACCAGTGCCTCAGGGTCCCAAACACACATTCTCCAGCTCTACACTGATACTGGTGAGGGGTCTCTGTTGAGCAGATGGCTTAAGTGGCTGTTTGCAGTAGCCTTTCAAGTACATGTTCTCTATACATCTTTGGCTTCGTGTCAACTGAGTCTTGGTTGCGTACAAAGGCATCTGCCTTTACAATAGGAGAAAAAGAGGCATTCTTGGTAGACAGAATTGAGCTCAAAAGCCTCAGGCTAAGGATCAGTGTCTTTTTTACCTTGGTATCCTTCCCATTTTTTAAGACTTTCTCTGCTGTTACTTAATTATTACTCTCTTATTCTTGTCCTAAAATAATCTACTTAAGGTATCTTAATCAAGATACTTATTCTTGATTGGTTTTTTTCAGTGTCTCTGTAAGAACTGAATTTTGTTTATGTTTGAAAAGAGACAGTAAAATACCATATAATCTTTTAAAATCTGCTGTCACCTTAAGATTTCATTGTTATCCATCTTTACTTTGTTTTAAAAGCAAGTTGATCAAAGACACTTAAATTTTGAGTACTGTGCTTTCAGTGCTTTGAATAAAGAAATGAGCTTGTAATTGGCAGGCTGGAAAAGCTAGAATTGGTGAGTACTAAGTTGTTAAATGTCTTTGAAAGGAGCTGTACATTTCATCTGGCATGATATGAACTAGTGCAGGCATTCTTGTTGAAGGTATGTAACCCCATGTACCTACAGTATGAAAGCACAGGGTCAGCATTTAATTTACCAACCTGCTGTAATCTTATTTAAAAAAACCCCACCCAAATAAAACCCTCAATCAAACAAAAAATACCTCACAAAATAAACCAAACAAAGTCCGTGACACACCAGTTTAATAATTTCAATTATAAAAATGTGGTGTGTAAGCTGTAGAACAGTTGGTAAGATTTAAAGCTGTTTCCTATGTGCTTTAATGGGTAATTCTCTGGGACAATGAGGCAATAGGTTAATGTTTGATTTTGATGCAAGAACTCAAAAGGTTTTCAAATTTGTTCCAATATGTGTACCACAAGACGGTGAGTTATCAGCAGTATATCGCTAGTCACAATGAAAAAATACTTTTAAAGATTATAGAAAGGTAATTACTTAGAAAAAGCGTGGCTAATGGTTCTCTCATTATTTTCAGGTATCTTGTGTTTTACTGCCCACAAGACATGTTCTACAGGTGCTGTTGCTTCCTGCCTCTTCGTGTTGTGGTTGCAGGAATGAAGGAGGTGACCAGGACTTGGAAGATAGCAGGAGGCGTTGCACATGCAGACAGTCACTTCAAAGATGTCTGGCTTGTCATGATAGCTGTGGGCTGGGCCAGAGGTAACAGGCATAACTTCTCCTTCTGATGGATTGTGATGTTGTGACGTGGTATTTAAGTGGTTAGCCCTTCAGCATAACTGCAGCACCATCCTTGCTGTGCTGGGCATGATAGTCCTGATGCAGCCTGTTATCCCCTCAAGCAAAAAGCCCGTGCAGCAGTTTTTCTGTCTGGATTAAAGGTGACATTGAATGACTTTGAGGGAAGTTTATATAATCCCTTTAGAAGGTCTTATGAGAACTTGCAGGATGGACAGATGATTGCAGGGAAATTCCGCGCAGGGAAGCAAGCAGCCGACTCAGTGTGAGTGATAAAGCAAGCTCCAACTTTATTGTTAGCTCAGTTCTTCTTTTATACGGTACACGATAAATGCACCTATTCATTACTTAGCATTACCTAACAGCGTTACCTAAGCTCTAAAAGTCACATTTATATACTTTTTCTGCTTGGGGTTGCAGCTGTGAAGAAGTCTTCTTTATTCTCTGGAGAATCCTTCTTTGTTTTCCCGGATAGTTCGTCCTTGGGCTTGCAACATTGCTGAGTTTTCCTGCATAGCTTGTCCTTCAGCTGCAACATTATGCTGAGAAAATAAATTCTAATGCTGGGAAGCTAAATTCCTGAGGCCTACTTCATGGTTATATGCTCAAAGCTCCCATAGACCTTTGCTCGACTCTTGCTCGCACAATGCTCTCTGGGAGCTGTGCCCCTGTTCCCTTAGCCATTCTTCAACAGATGATGACCATAAAGATGTAGATCTCCTGTATAATGTTCAACAACATTATTTTTTCAGGGCTGTGTCCTTCATGTGGCTGAAGAAGAGAACTGGTTATCGTAGGTTTTGGGGTTGTAACCATTACCTGATTTTAAACATAGGATTGACCTTCATGCCTGCTGCTCTTTGGAGTACAGCAGCTATATTTGTAGTCAACGCCATTAGAATCACTGCAGGAAGTAGTTGTGCAGCTCTTGTTTCTGTTTGCTTGATTCTGTTCTGTTCATTAACACATGTTAATGTGATAATCTAATGTATTCTGTTCCCAGGTTACAGTACAGATCAGTCTCATTTGCCACAGTGTCTAGCACCTCTTTATGTCTTGTATTCTTTTAATGTAAAATTACACAGAGGCTCCTCACAGTTTATGCTACACACTCTGTGCTTCCATGATGACATGAAGCATGGAGTGATGCAAATCCAGGCATTTGTAATGATGAGTGCATCAGTTCAGATATTATCACTTGGAGGTGAACCTGAGGTTCTTGCTAAGTGTGTAAACCTCCGAGGTTTCATGTCAGTTGCTGAAGTCATGCTTGTATGAAAGATTGCATTAGTCTTTTTAAGTCTAGGCTTTGGGTGCCACATTTAGCATTTGGTGTCATGACTTTTGCTGGGAGCAGTAAGAGATTGGACAGTAGTGGTAGCAGTCAGTGGAGGCTTACTGTAAATCTCTGCAATATCAGGTGCTGGTGGTGGCCTAATTTCCAACTTTGAGCAGCTGGTGAGAGGAGTGTGGAAACCTGAAACCAACGAACTACTGAACATGTCCTAGTAAGTACTTTTTTAAAACTGCAACTAGTCAGCTGTTGTTTTGCTAACTCCATGTGTTGACACTCACTTCTAGTGGTTGAGGTTTTAAAAAAGGCAGCAGGATGTGTTTGTACTCCATGTTTTGGTGTGTATCATGTGAAGGATGTGTTGATGATCTTTGGTACTTTTAGCAGATGCTTTAATCATTTTATGTTCACAACACAAGAACAGCAAATGGGAAGATGAGTCAACAAAAATGACTTGTCAGAAAGCAGTATTGAGCCAGTGTGGAGTTGCTAGAAAGCAGAAGTGGCTCACTTTGTCTTTCAGGGACAGAGTCTTCTGTCCAAAATGAAAGGACAGTGGTACCAGAAGGATCCAAGTGAAGGCTGCACTTTGGGTGTGTGTTCTGAGCATCACCAAGGTGGCTTCCTTTGAACTTTTACTTTCACTGCCAGTGCTGTTTCCCTCCCAAGATATCAGTTATTTGAGTAGGTGCAAATTGGTTATTCAGTATAGCAAAAATGTCCTGCAAAGTAGGAAATGTTACTTCTCCTGCATAAGCCAAGGATGGGGATATTACATGGTTTGCTCTGTAAAATGAGAACTGAAACAGGCTCAAAGCCAAAAGCTGTTATTGTGATCTTTCTCATATTACTCTCAGTTCTTTAAAAATAATCATAATTGTTTGTTTTAAGTTCTCTTGCTTTTCTGCAGCCACTCTTAGCAGCAGAATAACAGAAATGACATTTGTAGTCTTCTCGTTGGCAATATTTCAGCTTTTTATGGACTATGTTAGTTGTTGGCTTTTTCTGAAATTCCAGGTATTGAGAATTTCTCTCCCTATGTCAGTGCCTAAGTGGCAATTCTGAAAGCAAAATTCCAGAAGGAAGAGGTCACTGTCAAAAACCCAGCTCTGTAACCCCAAGTAACACTGTCCTTACAGGTGCAACACCAGAGCAATGCTCACTCACGGCATCACTTGTATATATTCTCCTTCTCCATGGTGGATATGGCTCAAAGGAACTCAAAAAAAAGAGATGTAAAAAATTTTGTTTATATATATATAAAACTTAAGAATATTAAATCAAACCAAGTTACAAAGGTGAAGGGATCAAACATCCTGCAGGTGGATAAGATACCTGTACACAGAGCTCTTTTCTGGACTCCCTGAGCAGCAGGTTGATGCAGTAAATCTCTGAGTTACTGAGAAGGCAGTGAAGAATCTGTCTGCAGTAGATGCTCTGTAATAACAGGAATGTCACCTGTACATGTCACATGTAGATGCAGATTAAGAAGTGCACAGAGTTATTCTGCCAGTGTATTAGTGCTGTCTCTGCAGATGACTGAATAACTGTTCTCTTGTTTTCTGACTGCTTCCCTAGCAAGGGATTTTCTACCACAACAAAGATCACAACAACATGGAAATCTTTGCATGTCTCAAGTCAGCACAGCTGTGTTGGCAAAACTTGGTAACATAGGTCTGGCTCAAGTCAGGCCAAAGCTCACTACAACCCTAGGGTTGCTGGAGTGCTGCAGTGGACTGAGACTTGGACTCTGTTGCTCTTCAACACCTTAAACAACTCCTTGGAGTAACTAACTCCTGGGGTATAGTAGAGGAACCTGATTTTATGTCTAGTCTGAGTAGTGCAGACTTTGTGATTTAACTCTTCAATAAGATGTATTGGGAGAGGAAGAAGGGAAGCAAACTGACACAGGGAGCCTGAATATAAGCATTGATTTGAGGAGGATTTTTCAAATGGGAGTTTGCTGGGTATGTGAGTGCTGTACTTGTTGCTTGTCTATATTAAGGACAGAAAGCATAGTAATAATACATAAAGTGAAAGTTTTTAATTATGGCGTAAGTTTTGGACCTTACCACTGTCAGCAAAAATTTTCATTAGTTCTGTTCAGAAATAATTCTTTTGCATACTGAGAATGCTTATTTCTTTCTAGGCCATGGCAGGTCTCACTGTAGGGCAGAGAAGAGAAATTAACACTGTTTGTTTGATTTCCAGCCCAGTGAAGATAAGTTTGATTGGAGCAGTCCTTTTCACCCTGCAGCACACCCAGTGGTTGCCAATAGCAAGACACAACCTTATGTTTTTATACACCATCTTTCTTGTCACCTCCAAGGTAAGAATTTGAAAGTGTTGCAAGTGACTGAATAACAGAATCTTTAATTACGTCAGCACAAAAAAAAAAAAAAAGCATCCTCAAACATTCTACCATAAGATAGAATGGGTGATTCTGGATGGGAAGTCCAGTTCCTACTGAAGTAGTAAATCTCTGTTTAGTCTTCTAGGCTTGAGCAGAGCATAGGACTATTCTGTGACTGTTCAATTGGTGGGGAGAAAAAAAAATGAACAAAGAAAAAATTCAGGAATTTTGGCACCCAACATTTGATATTCCAGGGTTGTGTGTCCGTAATCTCAAACAAAGCTTCTGCTTGTAGAAAGAAACCCTCCTGTTCTCTGTTGCATGTACTCCTGCAGTCACCATCTGCTTTGCAAAACAAGCCAGCTACATTCTCATCTGGCTTAAAGAGTTGGCAAAATAAGTGTTTAGGTGAGAGGGGAAAGCATATCCAAACCACCCTGAAATAGCTGTAACTGCTTTTACCATAAAATAGATGCTACTTCTCTGTGGAATTCCTCAGTCCCTCCAGTGGTATTCATTCCCAGGGTGATGCCTGTCTTCAGGATTATGAGCTAGTACGAAAATGAAGTCTCTGATAGTAAAAATCTGGCAGTTTTAAGAGCTTCAGAGCTTCTGTTGAACAGACAGCACTGACATAGACTTACTGAAAGTGGTGGCTGCCAATCTCCTTTCTGTGAAGTGACTGAGAAGTTTAACTCTACACAAGTTCAGGATTCCCCGCCTAAACCAATCAAGGCATTGTTGAACTGGGGAATGGAGAAGGAATGTTATTCGGGACGTGAGAAATTACAGCTGTATCCAGAAGCTACACTGATGTGACTAAGTCCTTACACTGATGGTCACTAAATCCTTACACTGGTGGTCTTACTGACCATCAGGAACTTGAGCATCCACTTAACTAGCAAAGCTACACCTGTGGCTCTGACACAGTCCTGTAATAGTATCTTTTACAAAGTTGCCATGTCTCTGAAAACTATAGAAACTGTTTCAGTATAACTTTTCCACTACCTGGATCTACAAAACAGCTTTCTTTCTATCCTGATTTCAAGTTATGTGTCCTAAGGGATTTCCACCTGAATCTCTGAACTTTGTAGTTGCAGTGGTTTGCTCATAAGATGATTTTGGTAATCTTACAGAGAAAGTTTTTTGTGCACATTGTGTATAGCTCATAGAATCACAGAATGTTAAGGATTGAAAGGGGTCTTGAAGATCATCTCTGCCCAGGGCTGGGACATCTCCCACCAGAGCAGGTTGCTCAAGGCTTTATCCAACCTTACTGTGAACACTGCCAGGGTTGAAGCATCCACTGGGCAATCTGTGCCAGGGTCTCACCACCCTCACAGGGAAGAATTGCTTCCTAATACCCAGCCTAAATTTCTGCTCTTTGAATTTATGCCCATTACTCCTTGACCTGTCATTACAGTTCCTGACAGAGTCCCTCTCCAGCTTCCCTGTAGGCCCCTTCACAGCTGTGTGAAGACTGCTGCTCAGACAGAAAGGCATTCTTTGATCAATGCTAGCCAAAATGAATATACTTCTGTTCTTGGTGGCCTCTTGGTTGTGTAGAAGGTTAGAAATGCCACACATCCATTCAGCTTTGAACATATGATCGCTGCAAAGTCGTCACAACTTTTACTGTAATCTGATGCTTTTTATTCATAGGTAAAGATGATGTTGACAGATTTTCCACTCACTCCCTTTGAGGCTGGATTATGCCGTGGGTTTTTTGGCTTGCAAAAGACACTCTCCAAAGCGGAGGGTGAGAGTGCCACGTCTTCCAACGGCTCTTCCGTCTGTGACCGCTCGGCCGAGCAGCATCATGATGGTGCTAGGAAGAGATCAGCAAAGAAAACAGAATAAATGACTTAAAAGCCTCGATGGTCATGAGCACTGAAGGTGTTTGTATTCCAGAGCAGTCTGGCTGAGAAGTTTCTTTGAGGGGATGTGTCCTACTGTGTTGTGGTTTGCCTTTGGAGTGTGTTACGTAAGCTGCTGTTCAGATGTCTTAAAAGCACATGTTGGATTTGTAACTTAAAACTACAGGT